GATGTTTGTGCTTGGGTTTCCATCCTGTGACTAAATGTATACTCAGCTACTCTCAGCAGCAGCTATGGATTTATGGAACAGTGCCCAGACAACTTTGGTGGGGTTGGAATCCCAGAGCTCCTTTATTCGTATCGTATGGTGAAACAAGAGCTTCATCATGGTGTCTGTGGGATAAAAGACAATTCAAATTTTATAAAATGTTTCTAAAACTGTGAGCTGCCAAGAAAGAGTTCTTTTTCTAATTCTGTTGTTTATGAGAACTTGAATTCTCAACATTTTATAACTTGCAAATATACATTGTTAAAATAATTGTATGCAAATACCCAAATATATACCATTTAGATGCATCATTAGTTTTTTTCTGAAGTTTTAATGTTCATAGTATGATATTCACTAATTTCATCTGTATAGTTTTAGATTTATTTAACCCTGCAGCTATCACCACAGTCTGGTTTTAGATTAAGATTTCAATAGCATGATGACAGTCTCTTGTGCCCCCTTACTGTTAAGTCCTACTCCTACCCTGTAGTTTCATGCCCAGCAATGATTACTTTATCTTGCTGTATTACATCATTTTCCAGACATATTATACAATGGGATTATATAATACATGCCTTGTGTATCTGACTTTTTCTGTGAAGCATAAAGTTTTAAAGTTTCATACATGTTATTATGCATATCAGTTATTTTCAAGTCCTTTTTAAAAAATTTTGTACCTTGAAATAAGTATAGATTTATATGAAGTTGCAAAGTTATAGTGGACAAGTTCATATTTACTGATGAAGAAAAATGGCTTATTTTGGCTTATAGTTCTGGAGGGACCAGTCCAAAATTGGGCAGTCCCATTGTATTGTGCTTCTGACAGGGGTGAAATGTCGTGGCAGGAACACATGGGAGGTCAGACCACTAACATCAAGATCTGGCATGTGGCCCACTTGAGGGCATGGTGCCAGTAGCCAAAGAACTTCATAACTGTGCCACCGCCTTCCATTAGGGACCCGCCCTTTAGCATTAACTTTGGTTGAGGGCCCATTCAAACCATAGCACACAGTACAAAGAAGTCTCTTGTCCTTTTCACCCAGCTTACTCCAATATTTACATCTTATATAAGTAAACAAGCATCTTTTTATAGCATATACTTAAAAAATGACTGTGTTGAAGATTTAGTTAAATATGGCATTTTGGTATTATTTTCTCTCTCTTTTTTAATTCCAAACTAATTTTATTTACTTTAG